GACAGGAGACTGTAGTCTTATTCAATTGTGATTGGTATCACATGAGACGGGGAATACGCGTGGATGTTGAACACGGAATTGTTGATGTCAATCCAAGCTTCCAACTTTCAACTAGAGAGCCATTTTCCCTTGCTAGGCAAGCACAACAAGTTTATTATACTCCATATCCGAGTACAGATAGAATTACTTGGGGATGGTTCGTAGCATGTAAAATAAAATCTAGACATCTTATTGACACCTCATCAACCTCATATTCAGCAGAGATTGATGACATTTTTCAAGATGATGACCCCCCCATAATGCAAGGCTTTTCATTAGCTACAGATTTAGCTGCGTACCAATCACTTCAACTTCATGCAGAAGGTGTTACAGAAGTTGAGGTTAATGCTGATACATCCGAAGAAGATGAGGACTATAGAGAAGAAAAAGATTCAGAAACTTTAGGAAATAGTAGTAATAGCATTGATGAGGAGGATGATAGTGATGATTGATTGAAATATTTGTTATCATATATTATTACTCATTGAATATATGTATTGAAATTTTTTTTATATATATATTGTTTTATCAAGTTGTATATTTTTCATTTAAAATAGCATCATTGTATGAATGTTCTAAATTTATTATTCATTATTTGCCATCGGTATTAATAACTATTTTGTTATTCCTCTTTCAGGATGTCTGGAAATCCAGCAAGTTCGGCTAGGAGGAGATCTTCTTCCTCAGGATCCCAGGGGCAACATAATCGTGATCAGCCACAGGTGTTCTCTAGTAGTGGCATAGCTCATGATATAGAGCAGACGAGATGTGATCCATTGATTGAGGATATGGATCATTTGACATCTAATCATGATACTGAGGGCCCTTCATCCTCAAAGGGGAAAAAAGGACGAGGTCGGAATTTGAAAGGTCTACGCCCTCCAGAGAATAGAGAGAGTAGGACCTGGGTTAAACTTACTGATGATAAGCTTCAGTTTGCTGATCCATCCATTCCTCGAGCTATCACTACCCTATGGAAGTCACGTTTTGATGGCCCATATTTCACATTTGATCGTGTCCCCAACAACAAGATTAATGAAATTTACGCTTGTTTCAAAGTAAAATTTAATTTTAGCAAATTAAATAAAATGAATGGATTTAGCAATTTTTAATAAAATAAATAATTTAATTACTTAACTAGAATTTGTTTTTTTTTCACATTTAATATTGTTCATTTTTTATTTTGTAGACACTTTACCAGTGGGACCGTGCAGATAATCTCCATGTACGAAATGCATTTATAAATTGTATGAGGCATAGATGGAGTGACAATATGAGGGATGTGAGGTTGAAGTGGGTGAAGGACCCATCTTATATCCCATGTTGGATGCCACCTCATTTATGGTCTCAGCTACTGCAGTATTGGGATTCTGATGAATATAAGATGCTTCAAGCAAGGGGAGCAAAGAATAGGAATTCAGGGGAGAGAGTGACTCACACCACTGGGTCAATTAGCTTTGGCATCCACGAGATGCGGATGGTAATCAAGCATAATTAATAA